GTGAAGCCGGCATGAACTCGAAGCCACTCACGAGACCGGATTCCTTGATCTTGGTGATGGCCCCTGGCCCAGAGGTCTTCCTCGGGTCTTGCCTTCCGAGCTGAGACAGCTTCTTCTGCTGCAAGATCTTCCTCGCCTCCACCAACCTGCCAAAAAATACGGAGACGATCAGCGCCGACGCATCGCAGGGACGGGCGCGGCCGGACGGGAGGATGGACCGACTTCTCCTTGGTGACCTGGGCCTGCTGCTTCTTCCACAGGTACTTGAAGTCCTTCACGAACGGGGCCCAGAGAGTGAAGAAATCTTCAGACGGGGTCTTGGAGTCTGCCTTCGGTCTCCACTGGAAATAGCTGTAGGCTGCCTCCAGACTTCGCAAAAAGAAAAGCAAAAAAAGTGAGCAATGTCCTCCCTGGATGTTCGCACGCGACGGCGGCTGCGACTTCCCACCTGGCAAGTGCATCCACCTCGAGCGTGCGGATGTCCGCCAGCTTCGTCTCGGCTGTGAAAAAGGAGAAGGAAAGCGGTTGACGTGAGGCTCTTTAAAGCATTCTCGAGCCCGAGTCGTCTCGCGAGTGGGGACCGTACCTCCGTCGAAGAATCGCTGCATGTTGTGCTTGAAAGGTATCACTTTGGCGGAACTTCCCTCCCCCATGATGACAACGTTCGCCTTCTCTTGCAGATCTGCCACCGAAAAAGAGCAATTTCAGTCAGCCTTAACTCACGTGAGGAGTTTCAAAAGGCATAGTAGTCCCCTTTTGACCCTTTTTGGACTTTTCTTTTTTTCTCTCCTGCATAAATGAATATTTTCACTCTGCTAAGACATTCTGGTCTGGGATTCTGCTTTCCTGTGAAGAACACATCTACTCTTCTCCAGTGTTTCTTAATTTCGATGGCTCAAATCGGCACGATTCCACATTTACGATTGGCAGGGAAAAAACGCAGGAAGCGGGAAGACACACTCAGTTCGTCCCAAGGAATGATGATTAATTTTAGGTAAACATTACCGCTCGACATCTCTAGCATGACACCAAGGATCCTCGGCCTCCGGGGGGGGGGGGGGGGAGGGGAATGCTATAAGATGTTTAAACAACAGCACGAAGTACCTTGCAGGGAAGCGTTGAGCTCTTCGATCTGGGCATGGACGGTCGAAAAGTTGAGCGTGGCGGCCCGGTCCACGTCCCCTGGTTCCGGGACGGGCAGCTTCGAGCGGTCCGTCCCCTTGTCTTCGTCGTACATCTGCAGGGCGATCGAGACTGGCGTCATTTCGAGGGATCGCTCTCGAATGGGGTTCCGCGAGACGAGTAAAGGCATTTCAGGCATCGAACAGAAATGTTCAATGTTCCCAATCGAGTCGTTCCGCGTCGAATCGACGCACTACGAAACATGACCCCCTTCGATTTTGATGAAATTCGGACCGAAGCTTCATACCATTGAGAATGTGGAAAATCCGAAATGATTTTCTCCTCGGTCGCTTAGATCTTCAGATAAAGGCTCTAAAGGCAATGGGTAATTTGTTACGTTTTAGCACCTCTGTCCCTAAATACGCTCATAACTTCTCTTCAAGGTAAACACATGCATTATAGCATTATATATATTATATATAAGGTCTCTTCCTGCCCTTCCCGATAGCATTAGATATGTTATAAACATCTCAAGAAGTAAGACGCAGCGATAAAATCAAAACTCAAACTCATGACGTCATGAAGCAAAAATACCGCCTTTTCGATTTCAACTAAATCTGGCTTACAAACTTCCCTCTTCAGGTAGACTAGGTCTGCCTGGTCAAAATTTCAGTGCATCTACTTCATGACTACGTGTTACTGTTTTAGATTAAACTTACATGTATGGTATCATCCGAAAGAGCAGAAAAAAACCTTGACAAAGAGCTATAAAGCGTCTCTCGAGCTTGACTATGAGAGAAGCCTTTACGATATTGAGGAATAGAAAAACTTGAAGAAAAAAAAGGCAAAATTAGTCATTATCCCTTATCTTACGATCTAATTGACTGAAGACAAAAGTATGTCGGATAACTCCCTTTCTCGATACTACAGAGCATTGGCTTAAATTTCATTATTGGAGTCATATTTTTTTGAGTGTTCATTCGACGTGGAAAGTGCAATCTGACAAGAGACTATTTTTTTATTATTTTTCAGGGACAAAACTGTCAATATCTCAAAAAGTTCTCGATATCCCAAGACAATTCTTGGCAGACCTGCTCTTCCTAAAGAGCCAAGTCTGTAAGCCAAATTTAGTTGAATTCGAAGAGGTGGTATTTTTGCCCGATGACGTCATAAGTTTGAGTTTTGATTTTATCGCTTCGTCTTATTTCTTGAAATGTTTCTAACAAATCTAATGTTACCGGGAAGGGCAGGAAGAGACCTTTCAGAAGAGCTATAATGCATCTGTC